ATCTCCAGATTCCCACAGCCCTTCGTGAGTACTTGTAGCTGGAAGAGCTTCTAAATCCAGAATGTCTTTAGTGTCCACAGTCCTGTCCTGTGAAACCAGATTCCAGTTTGGGTACGAGACTGATTTCTTCTCTGCTTCTGATGTCCATCTTGTAGTCGGTCTGCAGGGGCAACAGGTCCAGAAGTGAAACCCAGACCTCCATGTATCCAGCAACAGTTTCAAGGTCCTCCTGGCGGACCCCAAGGTGTTCCCAGGCCAGAGGGAATAAATAACCCCTCCAGCGAGTTCTGGATCAGCCCCATGGCCTCTTGCCCGAATACCCCTCTGCAGTATCGCCAGCTTAACGTGGTGGAAGGTTTTGAGTACCCCAGTAATCCCAGAGACATCTGGGCTATCAGTTTCTGGTAGGGTTTCCATGTCAAATAGGCCTCTCAGGACAGGGGTCAGACCAATTCAAAAACCTTAATGGATAAATATCAGGAAACCTTACTTAGAAAAGTGAAACCAGGGCAATTCCCTGGAGCCACAGCTGGTGAGGCGAACCCCTTGTGGTCAAGCATTGGTTCCTGGAGCTAGGTCGGGCCAAGACCAAAAGAGACAGGATGCCACCTCCACATGGGTCATGGATGCGAGGTCTGTCGAGGTTGGATGCAAGCCATGCTGAGTTCTGGTGGCCTAAACAAGCTCTTTTTGGCTTTTCCCTCTTCAGAGGTCATCACAACGAGTCATCCTCCTCCATCTCTGTCCTCTGCATCCTCTGTCTTCACTCCAGCTCCATGTCCTCTCTAACTGCATCCATATATCTCCTCTTTAGTCTTCCTCTTTGTCTTTATCTTGGCAGCTGCATTTCTAACATCCTTCTACCAATATACACACTGTCCCTCCTCCGGACATGTCCAAACCACTGTCCCTCGTCTGGACATGTCCAAACCACTGTCCCTCCTCTGGACATGTCCAAACAATCTCAGTCTGGCTTCTCTAACTTTATCACCCAGTTGTTCAACCTGTGCTGTACCTCTGATGATCTCATTCCTCATCTTATCCATCCTTGTCACTCCTAAGAAGAACCTCAACATCTTCATTTCTGCCACTTCCAGTTTTGTCTCCTGTCTTTTTGTCCATGTCTCTGTCTCCAGATCATACAATATAGCTGGTCTCACCACTGTTGTAAACTTTTCCTTTGACCCTTGCTGACACTCTTTTGTCACAAATCACTCCTGAAACTTTTCTCCATCCACTCCATCCTGCCTGGACTCTCTTTTTCACCTCTTTACTACATTCCCCATTTTCCTGGACAGTGGACCCCAAGTACTTGAACAAGCTCTGCGTCTGATACAAACCTTAAATCGGACTTTTTTTCCGTTGCAATCAGATGAATAAAACCATTGCATGAGTAAAAGAAGCATCATAGGAGGTGAACACCAGTAAATCCAAAAATTTCACTATTTTGACAAGTCTGTCCACAAGAACAGGATCTCACCCAGAGACAAAAGGACAACGTTGGTGAAAATATGTCAACTTTTACCACTAATTGTGCGCAGTCGTTTCCAGTGGTGGGCGTTGGATGTGAGAAATATTGCTCTGGTGAGATGTTTAGGAAGAGTTTCAGATGTGGGACCATTTAAATGCTCCGAGTCACATTAAGAGAAACCTCAACAGCAAAGATCAGATCAGTCCCTAATCATCTGTGGGAATTGAAAAGGAGTTTGATTTGTTGCATGACAATTTGTCTGCAGTCAGAAGTTTAATCTTTTTTTTTGGTTTACTCTCTTGTTTGCCGATTTTAATTATTCTGAACGTAAAATAACTTGTTTTTCTTTAATTTGGAGCTTTGGTGGTGAGGAAACATTTGGTGGTCAGACAAGGATGTTCAGCTTCTCTGCATCCGTCCAATTCAAAAATTCTGCAAAAAAGCAGTTTTTTTTTGGTTTGCTAAAGCAATGTCTGCCATGAAATTAGAAACACATGGTCTAAAGATAAAACATGAAACTCTTTTTAGGATAAAATTAACCCAAAAGTCAAATTAAGAACACTCTGATGCATGCTCAATAATCCAGGTAGAAAAATCTAACAAAGTTAAGTCAGGTCCTCTGGACGGTTTCAAAAAATAAATTCATTAATAAAAACGCTGAAATGTTTCATCTTTAATCCAAACGACTTCTTCAGTCTGAGGAGCTGCAGTAAACTCATATCGCACCTTATCATGGCGGATCAACCAATTTGTTGTTGACATCCAGAAATAGCTCTTCACATGATCAAGAAGGACCATCAGCACACTGATGGCTGTTTACTGTTCACAGAGGGCTGAGTGATACTAGCAATCACAGCATGAGGGGGACAGTTGAACCCGGAGGCCTCCACCCCTGTTTAACGATGGACGATTTCTTTTCACAAAGATGGCCTCCTTTACTCCTCTCTCAAACCATCGTTCCTCTCTATCCAGGATGTGCACATCTTCATCCCTGAAAGAGTGACCGCTGGCCTGGAGATGAGTGTAGACCGCAGAATCCTGGCCTGATGATGTTGATCTTCTGTGCTGGGCCATCCTTTTGGCCAGTGGCTGTTTTGTTTCCCTGATGTAAGACTGATCACCCTCCTGACACTGAACAACATACACAATATTACTCTGTTTGTGCCGGGGGACTGGATCTTTGGGATGAACCAGTCTTTAATGTATTTTGGGGTTTAAAAGCCACTGGGACGTTATGTTTAGAAAATAAACGTCTCAGTTTCTCTGATACTCCCTCAACATATGGAATGACCACTGGTCTGGGTCTGGGTTCCTCCTTTTCACCTGATGGCTGACTGGAGTCCTGTTTGGGTTTCTTCTCTGCTTTCAGGAAGGCCCAGTTAGGATATCCACATTGCTCTAGAGCCTGTTTTGTGTGGGATTTCTCCTTCTGCCTGGCTCCTGAGCTAGTGGGGACGCTGTCTGCTCTGTGGTACAGAGTCCTGATGACTCCTAACTTGTGCTCCAAAGGGTGATGGGAGTCAAACTGCAAATACTGGTCTGTGTGGGTGGGTTTGCGGTAAACCTCAGTTTGCAAATGTCCTCTATCAGAGACTGAGACCTCACAGTCCAAGAAAGCCAACCTGCCATTTTTTACATCTTCTCGTGTGAACTTGATGTATTTATCCACAGAGTTGATGTGGTCAGTAAAATGTTGGTCTTCCTGAGTTTTAACCCAGGTGTCGTCAACATACCTGAACCAATGACTTGGTGGTGTCCCTGAAAAGGACGTCAAGGCTCTCTTTTCTACCTCCTCCATGTACAGGTTGGCAACAAACCTGGAGACCCCATAGCACACCCATGTTTCTACCTATAAAATTGGCCCCCATATGTGAAGTAGGCTGTGATCAGTCTTACATCAGGGAAACTAAACAGCCACTGACCAAACAGATGAACCAGCACAGAAGAGCAACATCATCAGGCCTGGACTCTGTAACCAGGCTTGATGTTGTCGTTCAGCCTGTTTTATCGATATTTGTACATTCACTTTTTTTCATTTATTTATTTATTTTTATTTGTTTGTTTTTATTGTTTGCCAATTTTGTGAGTGATTGTGTGTTTTAATTTTCTCGCCACCTCGCTGCAAGGAAAATTTCCCAGAGGGGACAATAAAAGTGATGATGATGATGTCTATCTGCAGATCAGCGGTCACTCTTTCAGGGATGATGATGTTCACATCCTTGATAGAGAGGAACGATGGTTTGAAAGAGGAGTGAAGGAGGCCATCTTTGTGAAGAGAACTCGTCCATCATTAAACAGGGGCGGAGCCTCCGTGTCCAACTGTCCCCCTCTTACAATGCTGTTATTGTTAGTATCACTCATCCCCCTGTGAATAGTAAACAGCCATCAGTGTGCTAACGACCAACTGTTAGGCTGATGGTCCTCCATTTATCGTGTGAACAGCTAGTTCTGGATGTAAGCAACAAACTGGTTGATCCACCATGATAAGGTGCTATTTATAGGACTGAGTTTACTGCAGCTCCTCAGACTGAAGAAGTCTTTTGGATTAAAGATGAAACATTTCAACAGTTTTTTATTTATTTTTTGAATCCGTCCAGAGGACCTGACTTAACTTTGTCACAAATTAAGAAAGCTTTTATAAAAAGGCTAATCTGAAGAAAATTGGGTCACAGTTCCAGAACCGTACGGTAAAAATATACAATATGGGTATATGCTGCCAGGTTTCTACATCAATATGGAAATTAAATTAAATTATGTTTCAATCAGTAAACTTAAATCCATGAAACCCAGTTTTAATAAATACATTTTTACCAGTTTTTTTTTTCAACAATTCAAAACAAGAAAGAAAGAAGTCAGTTGCTCATGTTTATTAGAAAGTCTACTTTGTTTTTATTTCCCCTGTTTGCAGACTGACATGTAAACTTCAGTAAAAATCAGCTCATTACATTCCATTTTTTAAAAGCTGAACATCTTTGGTTGGATAGACGTGAACCTAACATCGTGTAAATCAACACACGACAAACTGGACCGGTTCACAAATTCTGTCTTGGCTAAAGTAAAATGTCCACATGGATTGACTCGGTTTGGTCACAATTTAAATGTAGATTTTTTTTTTTCTCTCATAGAAATCACCCATTAAAAACAAAATATTGCATTTACGGAGTTATTGATCATCTCTGTCCAATATATTCATATAAACTTATTGTTTAGTGAAAAACTTCCCTTTTAAAAATAAAAACAATGCTTGAATTACATCATGGTTTGAGAATCGGACTCAAAAAGCTGCATCTACTTTACTCAATCTGTAAAACAAACATTTTATAGCACCAGTAGGTTCGAACAATTCATGCAGCAAAACGTCTTTCTTGAGAAAAAACAAAACTAATTCAAGACGTTGGGGGATAAAGTTCATGTTTGTTGAGTCCAGTGCAGCCACCATCGCTTCTGCAATGTTTCTTTACAGTATGGCCATGTTGGATGGTTTTCCCCAAAAACAATCCCCTGAAAACGGGTCGAGTCGGACCCGGTCCTATGTTTTCACTGTGGCCATGATTCCTTGGTTGACTGGTGCTGGCGAGAAATGGACAAGAAAAACACAATTAACTTGATTTCACGTTGGAAAGCAACAAAATGAACAAATTAGCAAAGAAAACACATTCATGTTGAGCTGGCAGACTAAAGGTTTGCATCATATCCACTTTCTGGCAGATACTCTGGTCAGTATTTAATAAAAAACAAATGCCCACAGAGCTAGCAGTGTGCTTTTACCACCACAAGATGATGGAAACACCCCGTTGTTAGCCGTAATGATGCTGTTGGGAGCTCCCCCCCCCGACAAATGAGAACCTGCGTGTTTTACCTCAATCTTTGTTATTTAATTTGGAAAGAAATAAAACTATAAACTACAATAACCGTTTTACTACCAGAAAACCTGCACACCCTTCCTTAAAGACCTGTAAAACCAGTAAAATGTGAAGGAACATGAAGCGCAGAATTGGCCGACATAAATGCTCATACCTAAAATTTCTGTTCCACTCAAGAGATTTTCAACTGCCGTGGTAAGTAGACCGCAATTAACAAGAACCGCAAACAAATATGGGCAATGATGCCTGTGTATGTTTTGTTTTTGTATGTTTGTTAGCAAAATATCTCGTAAATGAATTCTAATAAATCTTTTTTAAGGAACGGATGTACATTTGGATTCAGCCTGAGTAAAGATGGCCGTCACAGCAAATCTCCAAATCATCCATCTTTTGTTTTTTTTTTGCAGTCAAACTTGTTCTGCATACTTTACGTGCTATTTTAACAATTCTTGGGTCAAAACATTCGGTTAGATCTTTTAGTATTTGTACGTTCATAATGAGGTACACTGAGATCTGATTCCTTTAAACCGTTCTCTGGTCTCGACTTCAGCAACTTGTTTTATTTTTCTCTCCTTATGCTCCTTCAAGCTACTGTCTTCATAATTTGAGATATTGTTTAGCTGACTCTAGCTTTTAAATATGGTTATGTCAATTGTAGCTTTTGTTCAGCAAATTCTAGCTAAAGTTTAGCTAATTTTATTAGTTTTGCTGCATTTAGCTTGTAGTTAGTTTTGCTAATATTAATTTGTAGATTTTAGCTACAGTTTAGCTAGTTTTATTTGTTTAGCTGCATTTAGCTTACTCATATTAGCTTTTAGTTACAATTTAGCAAATTTTATTAGTTTAGCTGCATTTAGCTTGTAGTTGCAGTTTTGCTAATGTTACCTTTTAGCTACAATTTAGCTAATTTTATT